GAGAGAGAGAGAGAGAGAGAGAGAGAGAGAGAGAGAGAAAGCGAAGGGGAAACGAGGGTGAAGCAAGAGGTAAGACGCTTTTGAAAAGTATTCGAAATGTATAATAATATATTGTGTTGGTTTGATAATCATAATCGATCTTGGAATTAAGTAGACATTGTGGGTGGACAACTAAATCCCCCCTCACAAAAAAAAAATCAATTTAAAAATTAAAATTTGATAAATTTTCCAAATTATAAATGCATAAATAATCAATACCGTTTATATAACGCCCATCTCCGCACGGCACAAGAAGCTAATCAAACGTTCAGAAACCAACAACCCGACAAGATCGTTTGCTGTCTATACCCGGGTACCCACTCCCATCTCGACAAAGTGAAGGAAACGTCGTGTTAGGAGCCTTTTCCAAAGATACAAAGTCGTGCCCCTGACGAGATTCGAACCCTCGACCTTACGGTTGCGAGTCCGAGAGGTCACCGATGCCGTAAGGGAGATCGAGCATGTAGTCACCTTGGGTATATTAATATGCACTAGCAAGTATAACGTAACGAATCACCAGTAGTAGAAACTCGTTATGTTGGTAGTTTGAAAGTCGAAGGCTTTTCTATTCTATAATTATTATTATGTTGGGGTATCAGAATATCGTCATATGGAAACGGGCAAGGGTGTTGGACGACATGACGAGTGTATAGCTGCCATTAAAATAGACACATAATGTTGTTGTAGTAATCTATTAGTACTGTTGTTGTTGCTGCAGCAGTTGTTATTGTTGTAGTTTTAGCTGCAGTTGCTGTTGTAGTTGTAGTTATAACTGTTGTTGTTACTGGGGATGATGATGATGTTGTTGTTGTTGTTGAAGTGTAACTGACTGCGAGTCAGCATAATAACGACAGCTGCGAGGAACAAATGGGTATATTATTTTTTTTTCTCTTACTCTCTGTCGCTCTCTCTACCGCATCCTTATTTTCCTTCCCTCACCCCCCCCCCTCTCTCTTCTTCTCTCTCTCTCTCTCTCTCTCTCTCTCTCTCTCTCTCTCTCTCTCTCTCTCTCTAATAATATTAATTCTCTTCTTTGCCTATCTCAAAACTAAGTCTCTTGACAGAGCGATAAAAGAAAAACATTGCATCGTAGAGCCAAGCTGGCTTAATCATTGGCTCACTCACGAGAAGAAGAAAAATATGTGCGGATTTAAAACGATATCTGAGAGATACCCGGAGTCTCTTATTCGTGTCCACACGCGCACTGTGTCTTTCTCGACAAAGTTATCGGAGAGGGTTTTCGTTTCTCTCCTTGAACAAGCTGGGTGTCTTCTGTCAAGGTGGGCGACCCTTCGTTGGAACGTCGTCCAAGGCAC